TGATGACTACGATAACATTAAAACGTTCGCAAGATTTCAGAGCATTCAAATCTGCAAAGTTAAATTGTAAAATGTTAGACAATTTTGATTTTTTTCCAAAAATCTGGATGTCTAGGGCCAAAAATGATAAAATTAAAAAATTATATACTATTGTAAATTTTTGAGTCGACGCCATCCATCCCATTGATGCTTTTTGGTTAGCGTTTTACCATCTACATGATATTTCTAATAAGCGAAACATGAAGAATTAGTCATGTGGAGAGCACGAGTGGAGCAAGAAGGCGATACTATAAAAGAAAAAATGTGTTATAAAATGTTAAAGAGTTTCAGTAATAATTGGGAGTTGTTAAAATCGCTTCCCATAAAAGTAAACTTTTATGACCGAACCGCAGCAGGATTAGATTCTCGTTATCAAGATTATTTTTTTACTATTGAGTGTTAAAACTGTCGCCAACAACTCAAAAATTAAACCTGAAAAAAATTTAAGAACAAATCAATTTATAATTTGATAAACATTTACGGAGTGGTCAAAATTTGAAAAATCACATTAATTTCCTAAAAATCATCAAAATAAAGTTGACACAACGACCACAACACGACTTCCTACCAAAACTAACAAAAATCAAAATTCTTGAAACTCTTGATCCGTATTCACTTTTTTTTTTTTTTGAAATCCAAAACAGAAAATTTTTCAAAATTACCCATGACTTTCGACCTTCAACCGCTTTATCACTAAATCTCGTCAACCGTTATCCACAACCATCCCGAGCCCGCTAAAAATAGCCCCGCCACTGGCTCGCCCTCTTCTCTTCGACGACGCACTGCGCAAATTCCATTCAAGTAGCCGGATGTGAACCTAATTAATTGTTCAACACGCAAATTAGGTAGCCGGGATGGGGCGATGATCGAAATCCCTATTGCGAATATGATGGTCCGAGTGCGCCTCAGAATTTCCATCGTGTTCTAGACTGGCGCATCCACCATTTTTACACCGACCGACTTTCGGCCGGTAAATAAAACTAAACGAAAGCATCGCGACGTCGGGAAGAAATGTATAATATATTATTGATTTTCGTCCTACGACTTCGACGGAGAAGTCTCTCTGCGACGCAATAATTCCACAAGAACACCCCCCGGACCGCCGACGCGATGTACGTATGATACACCCCGGAAGAAGCTTGATGGGGCGCACAGTTAAACTGCGTTGTATAACAAACACAAATGTTTAGTTTGCTTGACTAAAGGAGGTGATTATGAGACCTTTTTGGGTCGTGACTGCTGAAAATGACGGATTAGGGGTTCGCAGAAGGCGACAGTGACTTCCTTATTAAAACTGTTGGTTCTGTTTAGCAATCAAGATCAATATCGCCGAAATGACTTAAAGGAACCAATTTGTTTTGTTCGCACGGATTGTTTAACTCAATTTCTGTGACTTTAGGCCACACTGTTGTGGAACTGCTCGTTTAAAATAATCGAAGTAAATGAACTAGATGACCGACGATGGCGCTGCGTTCACTAATTTTAAAATGATAACGCCGACACTTCTTAATCTCGTTGATATCTTCATGACACTTGCTTTAATTTATGTCGAGCGTTATGAGTAACAAAACCGGCACAAGTTAGTTCGCTCATCGCATACCAGATGTCAGTTCACACACAAGTAGGGTCACTAATATATAGACAAAGGATGAACGAAAACAGTTACTTTTGCGTTCCTAGTGTGGTTCTCACGGTAACAACGAAATAGGAAAGGGGTGCCACCTTGACAACACAAATCGTCAATAAAATTCCAAAATCGTACACAAAATTTGAAATTAACAAATTTGACGCTCGAAATCAGCAAAAGAGATCTAATCTCGCACATAAAATTTGGTTTTACGGCCATGCGGTTTCCATTCTAAACGATTCAATTTATCTCGTGAGTCTTAAATTTGCATGTCAATATTTGTACAGTATAGAGCACGTAAGATGTAATAAGTGAGTTGTGAAAGTATGTAGGTACGTTACAAAACACGTTTTGTTCTCTTTTTATTCACAATAGTTGTGGTCGCAACACAAACATCTTTCCTGCATATTTAACTCCGTGTGTACGACAAATTGGCAACACTCGAATTTTTCTGGTCACGTGACCCGACGGCAGGTGATGTTTTTGGCACGGAACATAGACAAAAATGCGAAGCAAAATTTTCTTTGACAATACGACAAGTTCGCCTTCTGAATCACCCATGGAGACATTAGAAACAATCTCGGGTGCGTAGCGGCAACAAAGAACTTCAAACCGTCGCAGTGCGCATTTAAATTTAGAGATGTTATTACACTTGTGTAAAATTAAAATAGGTGTCAAGGATTTCTTAAAAAAAAAACTTGCGGTGACGTAAACCATTATACTTATTAATAGTATATATGTGCAGCTACACGATACTAGGTGATTACGGTACTGAAATCCTGAATAACACGTTAATCATCATCCATAAACGTTGTTTGTTGTGCATTTAATGTCCCCAATATTGTAGAACTGCAGCTGGAATGGAGAAACCCTATGCACCGATCGACAATGGAGGCAATATGAGGAAATTAACTTCTACAAGAATGACTATACGTAAGGTTTCCACGTCCACAAAAATTTGCTGAATGAAGTTGCACATATGTTCAAACAATTTGTGGTCAGTGTATTTAAAAAAATGCGCCATCTTTCAAGGTCGAAACTTCCCTCTCTCTCACACACGCTATACCGCATTCATTCACGCGGATATGCCGCGCACGCGCATTGGAATTTAGCGCTTGTGTCTAAGGCGACATTCTTCTAGCAAAATTCACGTAAACAAGTAAACAAGTTTATCATTCATTTGTGTAATTATTTATCAGATGCAAAAACGAAAAAGTTTATATTAACACTCGTTACGAAACGACGATAAAACAGTGAAAGCTTAGCCACATCGGGTTCCTTTTTGACAAATGACAGCCACACTGTGAAGTAACGGAAACGGCCGAAGTCGAAATAGTAACCCTATTAATACAAAACTAAATTTTAGAAAGTAGTTACGTTGAACGGCCAAATTTTCCTATAAATAAAACTATACACAACGATGTTTTGGCTCTCATTGTTCTAACGCTCCTTGAAAATTAGAATTCACGAGTTTGTGGTTTTGATTCTATTCTTAGATCCACCATTAAACTAACAAGAAAGTTAGTGTTTTCAACCGGTTGTGACTTTTTTTAATTTTATATAGGCGCTAAAACGCTAGTTGTGGTAAATTATTTCGATCTTGATTAGTAACGGATGCTCACATACAAATTCGTTCGTTAAAAATTATTACAAAATTGCATGCACTTCCGGCAAAACCGAGAAGTGGGTTCTTACGTCACAAAATTCCACGTATTAATTGTGTACACCGAGGTTTAATGTAATCGACTCTAATATTTATTTATTCGTGGCTTCAATCTTCAACTTTGGACGTGTGAAGGTTCGAGATTGCAAATGGCACGGTTATTTTTGGGAACAAAAGAAAGTGAAAGACAATGACAGAAATTTTATCAAAAATATAGTGCTTGATAACTTCTTGGTTCGGTGATTTTTCACGCCATTTTTCCGTCTTATTTAACAGTTTCTTCCTGTTTTATTGAGAAAATTTCGTTGTTTTGTGACAGCCGAGACATCAGGTTGGAATGAATTGAGAGTTTCAGTCCAAAACGAAGAAAATACAACAAAACAGTTCTACTTAAGTTTTCAATTTAACAATTTTAAAGCAAGATTTGGGTTTAAATATCAACTAATTATGATATTTAATGTCACCACGTTACAAGCTAACATGTTGTAACACGCAAAGCAATGTTCTAATTAAACCACTCTTGAATTTTACCACCTCGATCTAGTTTAGTCTTGTGTGTATATAGTGACAGATCCAAACCTTTACCCAAAATTTACTATTTACCAAGAGAGATTATCTGTTGCAAAATTAACAAAGAGCTTTTACCCTGTGGCGTTTCTGCAATCCGACATCAAGCACACATTTTTTGCGAGATGACACTAATAATAAAAGCCATCAACTAACAATAATTACTGTTAGCATGCAAATTACCGTAAATAAAAATAAAATTGACAAAACCCGGAAACTCACTACATATAATTTGCGCAATTAGTGTCCTGTTGACACACTGACTTTATACTAAGGGAAACAGAATGTTAACAACAGTGAGTAAAACTACAATTTAAGAACCGTAACTTTCGTTATACGTTTTGCACTAAATTTAGTGCAATAAAATAAACTTCACGTGAGTGAAAAATGTCAACGTCGCGTTAATGTTTGGCAACAACGCCTTCCACCGCACTGTATAGGTAAAACCGCCTTCGGAAAATTCTGAGTATTTACTTTTCAGAAAATCTTATCTCGAACGATTTGCGCAACATTTTGAAAAATCCGATCGCAATAAAAAGAGCCGGCTTGATAACTATCTACGAGTCCATTTTTGTCCAAATCAACAACTTTGGTCATAATTAAGTACGCCATCGCACGGCAAATATTTCTTCGGGTCGACACGGATGTGTCTCAGGTAGACGGACGTAAATTCTACAGTTCGAGACCGTTTGACCAAATGGCGGAAAATCCGACGAAATTCCCAAGCTATGACAGTTTTCAAGGATACGCGTACATTCGGCGCCTATATCAGCCTAACAACAAACTCGAGCTTAATGATTTCGTTACACAAATACATAAATACACAAAAAAATCCGACGAAACGTTAGCGAGTTAAAAATAATCTTATCTGCCATCAATCGAGCACCTATCGATGCGGTCGTCAATATAGAAAAAATGTGTTATGTATTCTTGAAAAGCAATTTGTAAAGTGCCACGACTAACACCGAAATCATTAAACATGTCGGTTGTAAAAGTGGGTGTTGTCGAAAGTGTGCAACTGTAAGTTGCAAACGAAACATAAGGACATGACACACATACACACACACACATGAGTAAAAATAGATAGGAGTGCTAAAGCCATACCTGTCCAAAACTGCAGCATAACCACGACTTGGCGATGTCGTACTTTTTTTTAAATGATATATTTACGGTAACTATGCCGAATAATTTCCATCAATACGTTATAAAAATATCTACAAGGACACATTTATCCTACGCACAAAAATAAGGCACGGGTAACTTTCCACTCTTTTATTATACTGTCATTGTTCCGCTCCGTTCTGCTGGACCCCGACGGAGGTTAGAACACATTATCAACAACAACTCAAATCATTCGATAACAACCGACCCTCATCGCTTATTCACGATCTTCGCCATATACACAAATTACAAAAAGACAACACACAATACTGTACCGACTGTACAAACATGATTAATTTTTTCTCCATTTAACGAGTAACAATGCGCGATAACGCTTGAGTCAAACGCTCTTCTACGAACTGAAGAAGTCCGTGTGTGTTTATTTCGCCATCTCCCTCTTTCCTCGTACGTACATGCATTTTTTTTTCCAACGCGAATCTCGGACCATGGTTTAATTGGAGTCGGCTGTGAGGGCGATCGATGTTCGACTCGACTTCCGAACGGCGGATCGAGAGTGCCGTGGAGCAAGACGTGACAACGCCGCAATCGCAAACCGACGTGATGAGTGCCTCACACCGGCTAATGGGCTCCGTGCACCGCCGCGCACAGGACTCTAAACTTGCCACCGTCCCACCTCAACACGCTCGGAAAATGAGCCATTAAAAAACTAAAAATACAAATATTCGCGCCTATTTTTAGATTCCGATAGCGATGATCGCCGCCCCTCCCTCGCACTCGAGCAATTGTTGCGCAGAGGTGAGTGCACAAATGCAGAGTGAGCAGGACCGGATTTGCGGATAAGTGGACTGCTCTGCGGAGTAAAAAACCGACAACAAACAACATTAGGACACGAAAACGGGAACCGTTTTTATGGCGACGCGTGCGGAAAAATTATACGTAAACGTAATAATAATAATAATAAGTGACTGAATGTGACACGTACTTGTCATCTGTGAATAGTACATAAATGCAACTGTTGTTACTGCATAAAGCAGAGAAGTACATATTTGTTGAAGAAAAACAAACTTTTTACTCTCCTACCGGACTACATTAAAGAAAACTGTTTGCATGCAATACAAGTTAAAAGTGTCGATTACGTTACACGGTCATTAAACAAGCTTGATAATTACAGGCACCTCAAAGAAATTTCTGTGTACTTTTTTAAGGAAATGACCCTGAGAGGAGAAGTGCAGAATTTGGTAGTAGGAACTTTCGTTCACATTTATCGTTTTACTTTATTATCAACAATAAAAGTATCTGCTTGAAAAATTGGAGCTACTAAAGCAGCCTGAATACCAACAACTGTTTATTCATTCAAGACGTTTCTGGATAAAGACCGGCTACGGAACTCTCAATTTTGCTCGTTGGAACCGTGCGTGCTTTTCTTTGATGGAAAGTTCCACTGTCTATTTTACGGTAATTTTAACATCAAGTTGAACTCTCTCCCTTTTTTTTATAAAAAATTCCTAGGAAGAATTGTTCTAAAATAATAATTTCTTGGAAGATTGGCAAGTCCTTAGAATAAAAGATTTGAACAAACTAGTTGTTCTCTCTAAATTAATCAAAAGAGAATTTCAACTATTAACTTCATTTAGAGGTACATCTTTTACAATCAACCGCAGATTTCAACACTTTGACTTTAACGACACCTGAAGTTTTGAAGACTGGACGTTCTTTTAAACATCGAAATCCATTTCCAATCAAAATGATACTTTCATGAAGAACTTGTTAAAAATAGACACAATTAAATATGAGATAGAAATACATAAATATTGAAAGATAACAATGCTGTCCTTGTAGTTTATTAATCCGCCTTTATTTTTTACCTTCGCATTTTAATTTTTGAAAATTTAACGTAGAAACTGCGATATCAACTACACCAATATCGTACAAATAATCGTAATACTGGTAAATTTCTAATGAAAATTATTTGTTTATCCTTTTCAACAATTTGATGACGTAATCTCAAAATTTTGCCAGATATGTGAACATGTACTATTAAAATGTGCAAAATATTATGGACCTACTTTGATGATTTATGAATATTTTTTTAGAATTACTTACAGATAGGTATCTCAAAAAAATTGGTCGAAAGTTGTTTCAACAGAACTTCCCTCGGACCCAAAGTACAATGAAACATATCCAGCATTTTCGAGTTGAGTTGTTACTTTACACAATTTTGTGATGACCTCATCAACATTTTTGCAAGAACACGTATAGCAACTTGGATTAGTGCAGTCTAGTACTTCCTAAGATAAGACTGATTGTGGCAAATTACATAGCCCCTAAGAAAATAGGGGGCGGGTGGGCGGGCCTATTGCTTACTTATAAAAGATTCTGTATGGAAAAGTTGAACTTAGCGCCACCCACCCACCCGTTCCCTCATTTTTTCTTCAGAAATAAGAAATAAATGTTATAGCAAGTAAGTCGTACAACAAAAAAATTACGATTAACGCTTCTTTTTAAGAGCCTGCGTTCTATTAGTTACCATTCTCACTTTACAAAATAACGTAATTCACCCCGCCCACCCACCCGGCCTCCATTTCAGTGATTCATTTTGTCTAGTCTGAATAAAAGGTGGATCTCAATTGACGAGAGATAAAATCGTTGGAATAAGAACAGTGTATGTGATTGATTTTGGTAAATGGCATATCCTCTAAGAAAATAAAGGGTGGGCTGGAGGGGCTAGTACATGTTAAAACAAAATTGATTTTAGTAAATAAATGAACAATATTAAGCGTAATCATTGGAATGAAGAGAGAGTGGGTGGGCGGGACTATTATTTGCTTATAAAAGATTGTGAAGGAAAAGGTTAAACTTAGCCCCGCCCACCCACCCTTCTCTCTTTTTTTATATTATAGATATATTTTGATTAACAATTAACCATTTCAAAGTATTCAGTTTTGCAGTTCCTGATTACGCATTCATTTTTTTTTTTGGGTCATCCTGTATAAGTATATCCAAAAAAATATGAATGGAAGATAAGTCACAAGTATAGACTCATAATATTTTCGACATTTTAGATGAGATTTATTCGGCAAAATTGTGGTGGGGATAATTAGACAAATTTTGGTAAGTGTTTTACTATCTACATGATATTACTAATATAAATATAAAATTTGACAACAATCGGCCCAGTACTTTCGGAGATTATCTGTCTAATAAAAATCCGGGACGGTAGACAGACAGACAGACAAACAGACAGACGGACGGACGGACGGACGGACGGACGGACGGACGGACGGACGGACGGACGGACAGACAGGCAGACGGACAGACAGAGGGACAGACAGACGAAAACGAGAGACCTATTTCTTCGTACTCTAGGAGTCATGAAAGGTCGAGGAAAGATAAAAGTAGAGAGTCGGCCGACGGACTCAATTACAACACTTTGCTTACGCTCAGGAAGTAAAAAATCATGAATGCTAATATTTCATCAACTAAATCAAAAACGGCTGCCTTATTTTCCTGAAATTCCGAGAATTCAGTACTGTTTTATTAGTATTACACTCTATCTATCAAAATTGATATTTGTCCCTGCTAAAAAGTTGATAACGTCTTCACAAAATTTTATTGAAAAAAAAAAAAAACTCACTCGAGACATACATACATATACATGCCTTCTTTATCTGCAGTTTAATAACCCAGACCTATTTTTATTTTAACTTACAGAGGTTATCATAAAAAAACAAAATTCGCAGAATCAAACTTTATAATTTATGTTCAAAACTACATTTATTTGAGTTTCAGGGGATCGAAATGTTGTGTCTAAACAGCTTTAGATCAGTTTTTAATTCGCCAGTAAAATCCTAGTACATGTCATATGCAGTTTATAAAATACCATACTCCTGTACTGGTGGTTTATGAATTTGCCATGATTTTGTTTGCTATTAATATAATTTTTATTATTCAATATTTCTCATATCTGGTCTTTAATTAAATACATAATACCAACCAGTGGCGGCATAAAGGGGGGGGCGGTCCGCCCCGGGTACCAAACACCAAGGGCTAACAACGATAACTCACTCGCACAGCCAGAGAATACTTACAGAAGAATCGCTCGCAAAAAAAAATCGGGACGGCGGACAGACGGACAGACGGACAGACGGACAGACGGACAGACAGACAGACAGACAGACAGACAGACGGACAGACAGACAGACGGACAGACAGACAGACGGACAGACAGACAGACGGACAGACAGACAGACAGACAGACAGACAGACAGACAGACAGACAGACAGACAGACAGACAGACAGACGGACAGACGGACAGACAGACAGACAGACAGACGGACAGACAGACGGACAGACAGACGGACAGACAGACAGACAGACGGACAGACAGACAGACGGAAATGGGAGACCCATTTCTTCCTACTGCAAGGGTCATGACAGGTCAAGAAAATGTAAAAGTAAAGAGTTTTTTTTCTTAATATAAATAGCCATCTTTTCATAACAAGAAACTAAAACATGCTTAAAATGGTTTATGCAAGGAAATATGGGTTTTGCAATTATGGGGCGGACCCTAATTGCAAAATCGATATTTCCTTATACAAATTTTTTATTTTAAATTTCATGTTGTGAAAAGAATTCTGCAAATATTAAAAAAACAAAAAGGCAAAATGTAAGCCCGCCCACCCGCCCTATCTCAATTGTGGTGATTTTTTTCATTCGTCCTGAACCAAGGGGACTCAGCTGGCTGCAAAATACTTATTTCTTAACAAGAAATTAAAAACATGTTTTAGAGCTTTGTGTTGTTCAAAGAATACAAGGTATATTAAGAAAAAAAGGCAAAATATAAACCCCGCCCACCCACCCCATCTTAATTGTGATGACTTTTTTTATTCGTAGAAACTTAAAACACATTTAAAATGGTAAATTTTTGTAAGAAAATGTGGACTTTGCAATTAGGCTCCGTCCCTAGGTCTGCCAATGAATGGAAACTTCATTACTATTTAGATCAAGGTAGTTATGGGTGGGGCTTAAATCTTTGGCTTTAATTTTTTCTTAATATACATCGTATCCTTTGAACAACACGATACTCAATAACATGATTTTAATTTCACGTTGAGAAATAAGGATTTTGCAGTTAAGCTCCGTCCCTTTGGCTCATGACGAATAAAAAAAGAACATCACAATTGAGATAGGGCGGGTGGGCGGGGCTTATTTTAATTTTATAATTTTTCGAAGAAGTTTGAAGTAAATTTACCGTATTAAGAAAATAACGTGTTTTTTTTTTAATTATAAAATGCTAAGAAATATTTTTTCCATTAAAAAAATAGGCAATTTGTCAAACAAGCAGAAACAATCGTTTATTATTTAATGGTTTCTTAGAATAATGTGTTTGTATCAATGCAAAATCGAGTCCTCGACAGCTGAGAAACCGCTAACAATCCACAGTTTTCTTCGATATTTCGTTACTTATGTTGTTGTAAGTGACACCCTCTGTAGACTTGCTTAATGCTTACTGAGAATGACCCAAAAAAAAAATTAATGAAAGAGGATTTTTTCACTACCTCTCTACCTACCCAAATTGACATACGTGAATATTGATGTCATCATAAAATTTTATAATAGAAAAATTCTGTTGAAACATGCGAAGA